TTTGTGTGTGTGTGTGTCAGAGAGAGAGAGAGAGAGAGAGAGAGAGAGAGAGAGAGAGAGAGAGAGAGAGAGAGAGAGAGAAACTGAGACTGTGCTCTGTGCCTCATGTGTGTGGGTGCCCATAGGGATCCAATAGAGGGAACTGAATTCCCTGGAGTTGTTTTTCGAGGCTGTTTTTAGTCACCCAGTACGGGTACTGGAAACCAAACTCAGGTTCTCTGGAAAATCAGTAATGGTTTTTATCTGCTGAGCCATCCCTCTAGCCTAGAAGCTTAGGTTTAAATAGAGATTATTTGTTATCAGGGTATGGTCTTACCCATCAACTTCTCAGAATTCTATGCAGTCTCTTTATTGGAGCCACGTCCATTCAGGGTCCTGGGGTTCAGTTTATTTGGCACAGTTTTGCCATTTGATAATCAAAGGGGAAGGTTGTACACACAGTGCTTGGAGGAACGAGTTTCCAACATATGAATTCTAGAGGACATAAGCAAACCTTAACACCTAGGGAATGTCAGGGACTCCTTAGAGGATTCTTTTTGTTTGTTTGTTTGTTTATTTATTATTCTCTCATATATTACATTCCAAATACAGTTTGCCTTCCCTTGTCTCCTCTTAGCTCCCTTTTCCTGCAAATCCACTCCTCCTTCATTTCCCTTCAGAAAAGTGCAGGCCTCCCAGGGATCTCAACCAAACATGGCATAACAAGTTACAATAAGACTAGACACAAATCCTTAAATCAATGCTGGCTGAGGAAACCCAATAGGACGAAAAGGGTCCCAAAAACAGGCAAATGAGTCAGTCATCCCCTTGATCCCACTGTTAGGAGTCCCATAAGAAGACCAAGATATACAACCATAATATATATGCAGAAGGCTTAGGTCAGTCCAACAAAGGTTCAGTCTCTGTGAGCCCCAGTGAACCCTGGCTAGTTGATTCTGTGGGCAATGTTATTGTCATGTCCTTGGCCCCTTTGTCTCCTACAATCCTCCCTTGCCCTTTTCAGAAATTGCTCAACTAGTATACTACTTCAGGTTCTGGTCTACTAGCATAACAGAGTATCATTAAGAATCATTTCATTGATTTTTTTTACAGAGGTGTTTGGTTCTGTCCAACCTCTGGTTGTCAGGCCTGGGCTGTCTCTCATAGTATGGGTTTTAAGTTGTACCATTCATTGGCTGGTCACTCCCACAGGTTTTGTGCAGTATTATCCCAGAACATCTTGAAGGCAGGATAAATTGTTGGTCAAAAGTTTTGTGGGCGGAGTGGTGTCCCAGTCTCCCCACTGGAAGCCTTGCCTGGTTACTTTAGGCTCCATTTGCCCCATTTATAGGAGTCATTGCTAGGATCACCCTGGTAGATTCCTGGTAGTTTCCATTGCATCCGGTTTCTACCTCACCTCTGCAATGCTCCCTTAATTCCAGTCTTGTCACTCAGTACCCCCTCACCCATTTCTGATCCCTCCTGTTGGTGGAAATTGCCTTTATTATGATTAGGTATATCCCTTGTATCCCTGGTCTCTTCAAGACTTTATCATGAAGGGGGTGTTCTACTTTTAAAAGGCTTTTTCAGCATTTAGTGAGATGATCATGTGTTTTTTTCTTTAATTTTGTGTATAGGGAAGATTACACTGACAGATTTTCCTATGTTGAACCATCCCTACATTTCTGGGATAAATCCTACTTGATCATTGTTGATGATCTTTTTGATGTGTTCATGGATTCGGTTTGGGAGTATTTTATTGAATATTTTTTCATCAATGTTCATGAGGGAAATATGTGCAATTCTCTTTCTGTATTGCACCTTTGTGTGGTTTTGGTGTCAGGGTGACTGTAACCTCAAAAAATAAATTTGACAATGATTCTACTTTGTGGAATATTTTGAGGAGTATTGATAATATGTCTTCTTTGAAAGTGTCGAAGAATTTTTTGCTCAAGCCATCTGACTCTGGGCTATTTTTGGTTGAAAGACTTTTAATAACTGTTTCTGTTCCCTTAGGGTTTCTAGGTATATTTAAATTGTTTATCTGATTTAAATTTGGTAAGTGGTATCTATGGAGAAAATTGACCTCTCCCCCTTTTTGTAGATTTACCAATTTTTGTGAAGTCCACTCTCTGAAATTATGACCGAAACATTATTTGGATTCCTTTGATGTCTCTTGGTGTAGCATGAAAAATAAAATACCCACAAATGAGTATTAGAGTTCAACCTGAAGATCAGGGAAGCAAAATATTCAAGCTACCAGAGAACTCTTACCTCTAAAAGGGCTGGACCATTCCTATTCTCTTCATGGATGAAGAATGAATGCCTGATCCTGACCTTTCTTCTGTCTTCTATACCTCCTTAATTTTGGGAATAAACTTTGGATGAGTTATTTCTATTTAGGACTGGATCAATATTGTGTTGATCTGGGTTGCCTTGGACTCACAGGGATCTGTATACTTCTGTTGAGAAGTCATGTGTAATTCTGATAGGTCTGCTTTTATGTTACTTGACCCTTTTCCTCTGCCACCTTTAATATTCCTTCCTTTTTTCTGTATACTTAGAATTTTGATTATTATGTGGCAAGGGCTGGGTATTTTCTTTTCTGGTCTAATCTATTTGGTGTTCTGTAAACTTCTTGTAACTTATAGGCACATCATCTTTTAAGGTTAGGCAATTTTTTCTATGATTTTTGTTAAAAATATTTTCTGTGCACTTGAGTTGACATTCTTCCCTTCTATTTCTATTATTCTTAGGTTTGGTCTTTTCATAGTATCCTAAATTTCCTGGATTTTAGGGGCAGGAATTTTTTAGAATTTACATTTTGCTGACCTGTGTATCTATTTCTTCTATTGTGTCTTCATCATCTGAGAGTTTCTCTTCAACCTCTTGTGTTCTGCTGGTGATTCTTGCATCTATACTTCCTGTTCACTTACCTAGATTCCCCATGTATATTTTTCAGTTTGTGTTTTCTTTTTTGCTACTTCCATTTTCAGGTCTTGAATAGTTTTATTTTTATTCCTTCTAATGTTTGTTTTTTCTTGGATTTCTTTAATAGATATATTCATTTCCTTCAACTGTTTGTGCTTTCCTGGCTTTCTTTGAGAGATTTATCCTTTTTTTCCAATTCTTTGTGTTTCCATGGATTTCTTTAAAGGATTCATTCATTTCCTCTTACGAACCTTTATCATTGTCATACAGTTGGTTTTAAGGCTGTTTTCTTGTCCTTTAGCTGTGTTAGAATATTTAGGGCTTGCTGTAGTAGAATGGTGACATATTGCCCTAGCAGTTATTGATTGTGTACTTACACTGGCATCAGGGCACATGGGTTTGGGGTGATTTTAGATCTAAGTACTGATTTCTGAGTTTTTCATTGTTGGATGGGTGTGCCCTCTCCTTGGTTTTTGTTTCCTCTTTGATCTTCTGGTCTTGGCAGCCTATATTTCTGATAGCCATTATAACAGGGAATTTTTGTCCCAGTTAGGGGCTGGACTTCTGGCAGCTAGGCTTGCCATTGGCCTAACAGAGGGTGTCTACCAAAGTTGGGGGCATGGGACACAGTGTTGAGGAAGAAAGCAGAGACCTGGGATAGTGTGGAGAGGCACTTAGACAGTGGGGTTATGGATGCTGTATGGTCTCTGGACTAGCTGGGAGTATCTGTCCAAGTTCTCCTATTTGTTCTTCTGGCTTGTGTGGTCTGTTTTTGTGGCTAGCATGACCTGTACCTGTTCTTCAAACTGACATGACATGCACTTGTTCTCTCATTAGAGAGTCTTAATTAATGTTAAAGAGATAGATTAAACTCAAAACTAACATGAACAAATTAACGGGCAAATGATTGGCTTCAGTTTCTTTTTTACTTAATTTTAATGTAAAATGGATTTCAATTTATTAATATTGGGTGGAGACCCATGTCATGGTGTGCATACGGATATCAGAGTATAACTTTGGGGAGTCACTCCTTCTTTCTTTCCATAGGTTCTGGGGATCCAACTTGTGTAGATGAGCTTGTGTTATACTTTACCTGCTGAGTCATCCTGTTGAAACTTCTTCATTAATTTTCTGTCTTATGCTTTGTCCATGGTATTAATGGAATCTGAGTTCTCAGGTTAAGTAAAAAATTCTGCTTGACTTCTTTAAGTCTGAAGGAGAACTAAATATTTAACTCCCCAAGTTTCCATGTCCTTTTCTGCAAAAGGAATTCTTGAGGAATGAAAATCATGAGGAAATGTTTGAAAACTACTGTAACTGTACAATGATTAGTAGAACATAGCCAGGCCAGTAAGAAGAAGTAAGCTAGGCCAAAACATAGTCTTCATTGCTAAATCCTGAGCAAGCACTCAATTTCTTCACTTATAAAGAGGTATGGTAATTTATACTTAATATGTCTGACGAAGATTAAAATAACACATTCTCAGTAAGATATAAATAGCAGATTAATTACTAAGATTTCTTCATAATGTCTCAGAATAGAATCATCACAAAGCCAAACATGCATGGGTTGTTGTTTTCCTTATAAAAATATGATATTTATGTTTTCAAATCAATATATTTATACATGACCTTTCTAAAAATATTTATAGAAAATATATTTTATCATCTTTTATCATGGTAATTCTTCATTAATTCAAACAGTGCAAATTAATGGGGTTCACTGTGTCATTTTATTCATAAATATGATATATATGTATTATTAAGACAAAATCTGTTTTGAAGTTTAGAGAAGAGTCAGATTTAAGCAAGGTAAGTAAGTTTTTCAAAAGTGAAAATTATGCACTAGAATAACAGAATTTCTTTGGGACCATATATATCATTACAGTCTGCTTTTATTTTTAAAATCTGCCTTTTTAATATTTCCTAAAGTTGAGAGGAATATGATTTATGTCTGCTAACAAAATAAAAATTAAATGGTCTACTTAGCAATTTTGCTTCAATTTTACATTGAGATAGTTACAATCTTTTAAATAAAAACAACTTTCATACTAGTGATACTCTAACACTCTTTAATCTTCTTTTGCAAGATAATAGTTGGAGAAACTGCCGTGTTTTGCCTACAATTAGCCACAAGGGATTTTGAAAACCAGGAAAAAACTATTTTAACTGGAGACTGTTGCTATATAAACCCACTGGTACGCCGAACTGTCCGATTTCTTGGTATGTATTCGTTGATTTACTTTTATTCTTGTCAATAAAGATGATCATATATGAGACAACAACAGCCAGGATGAAATTTCCACATTAAGAAGGAAAGACTATGACCCCTGAATAGTATTTTTAAAGAAACCAAATGTATGCAATTAAAACAAATGACTTAGTGGGTTTATAAAGCTTCCAAATGAATGCATGGGAGAAATAGTAACCCTAAGTAGACCAATTAAGAACAATAAATTGGCAAAATAGGAATATCATATTTAATAAGCTGTACCCCTTGCACTAGCGCTGAGCTGGTTTTCATGGAAACCGAGTTATAGCAATAGTTTTGTTAGAGAATGAGAGACACCAATATGTTAGCTTTCACCCTGAAAAGGTCACCTCTTAACAAAATTACTAATCATCCTTGTAGTTCAATAGAAATTTAGACATACAAACTTCACTGGACAGCCAAGATCAATGTCGATTATCATTTCCTGGTTTGATAAATTAAAATGTGTGTTCAAAAGTATTTAAGATGTATTCTGATGAACATTGAGAGCTTCATCAAGAAGCCTGTAACTTTTCAGGGTATATCTCATGTTATGGGGCATAAGAGGAAAACTTTGGAGACAGCAAACAGCATACTGTCCTATAGCTACTAAACTAGAGACTAGGCATAAAAGAAACAGGAGCTTAGGCATCTCTGAAGACTCAGGATCTTTTTTGGAATACTGAACTTTTCATTATCATCAAGTTAAGTATATTGAAAGCTCCCAAGTATCTTTTGAAGGAATATTATATAAAATACATGAATATTATATAATATTAAAAATATTATATGAGATTATATAAAACATTTAGATATCATTTTCAAGATACATACATCTTAAATTTTATTTTTTGTTTGTATAAGTCATGTGCTTTTGACCCATTTGCCTTTGAATGTGAGTCATTTAAAAACAAAATAAGTAAGTAGCCATGACATCTGCAAGACTAAAAGTACTTGAAATCAGTACTTTCCTAAATACTATTGAGCAAAGTTGGTTGTATTGTTAAGGAAAAACATTCTCTGAATTTGCATCATGTTTATAAACAGCCTGTGTCAGAACGTAAAGTGTGCATATTACACACCACGTTTCTTCCTTGCTATATAAATTTTCTTTTGTTTCATTCCTTTATGGTGACCTGAAGTTTCAAATCTGAAACTGTTACAAGAAAACAAAAGCTTGTAACTGAAGCAACACTGAATAAAAAGATTTCAATTCGCATAGGGACTTCGTGCTTTCTGTCAAAAGAGTAGCTATGCCTATGGGATCCCACTTTGAAAATTATCTGTGCCATCAACAGCAATACCAGCTGTGGACCTGACCCATAGACATTTTAGTTCTAAGTCCTATTCTGGAACTTTTCAAGTATCAAGAGACATTTCTATATTCTTTCCAAATATTTCTATTTTAAACAGAGGGACCTATTACACTAGACAAAAAGAGAAGCTTAGTTACGAAATGAGTACATTTTAGCCTACATTTCAAAGGAGTATGTATATAGATGCCAGTGGTTAGCTTAGAGGTTTTCGAAAGACAGATTCTGTGTGCATCTTACTGGCCTCGGTTTGCTCCCAGTTCTCTGCCTCTCCTGATTTTCTGCTTTTCCTACCTAGCCTTTCCTTGGTATGACTCATGGCACACTGCTAGGAGTCAAGAAAGAAATTCTTGCTGTTTTCCTTTGGAACTTAAAATAGAAAAATCAATGTTTTATCACCTTGACATTTGGATACTCAGCATTTTATTATGTATAGATTTTTGGTGCATAAAGAAATCTTATGTAATATTTTTAAAATTAAAAGAACATCCATGCATCCAATACTAGAAAATTATTTGATCCCTTGCAATTGCATGATGACTTCCTAATACAACAGTCAATCATGATGTAAGGCTTAGGAAAAAACATTCAGAAATATGCAGCTAAGAAGAAAAACATCTAATTTTAAAAATAAAATTAGCATGCTCTTTTAATAGGTCAATTCTTTGGGGGAAATATTAATTTTCTGTAAGTTTAAAAGTTCTTGGAGGGGCAGAATTGGCTCAGCAGTTAAAATTTCTTCCTGCATCTACAGTGACCTTGGATTTTATTCCCAATGCCCACATCCAGTGGCTCCCAGCCACCTGTAACTCCAGTTCCAGGGGATTTTGAATTGCTCTCTTCTGACCTCCGTGGGAACCTGAGCAGATGTAGGGCACAGATATATACTCAGATGCACACACATACTTATAAAGTAAATAAGTAAAGGTTGAGAATAACAAAAATAAAATAAAGATCCCAGTGGATTTTATTAACTTAGTTAGAAAACAGTGAATATCCTCACATCGGAACCACACCTTTCAAGGTTATATTTTATACATATCATTGTTATCAATGAAAAAAATTGTTTTACTGAGGCAGAAAATAAGTTTTGTTCATAAGAAAATCTCCACAAGATTTTAAAAATTAAAAGGCCATCTATGTATGTAACACTGAAAATGTATTAGGTCTTTTGCATTTTTCATGTAAGAAATGTCCAGTGATTCTGATTAGAGAGAGCTTTTCAAATTCAAGTAAATTATTAAGCTTATTACAATGGACGAAAAATTGTATACTTAGGTTTGTACTTTCATGTAGCCACAGTAAAGACAGTCTAGAATTAGAATATTGATTGCCTTCTTGTTTCCTAACTTGTTCCAAAACAGATAACTAGAAAGCAAATCTCTAAAAGATAACATGGGACCACGTGGTAGCTGTTCTGTGCCTTTGAAAAATGTGTTTCTGAAGGCAATGTAGAGATTGGATCCAAGAGTACTCTGCTAAAGATTTCTCCATGATATTTAAATGTAAACTGATGACACTGGATTTTATTGCTAACTGGCACTTCCAGCAGAGGTGTTATCCATCTGAGTAGGCTTAGGATGCATAATCAAAGAGATACAACTGCTTTGCTTTAGCTTTAGTGTCATAAAAAAGTCAAAAATAGGAAAAAATAGAGATTGCTAACATTACTAAAACACGGTCAACTGCTTACTCTTTGGGGTCTGTCTTTTTATTTCAAAACCTGCATCACCCAAACACAGTTTCAGCATATATTTGCTTTCTTGATCTTATATCTCACAAGCTTGCCATGCATGAAAATGTAGCCAGTGGTAGACAGCTCAATATGTTAAATAATTTAACACTCATAACTACTTCAGAAAGCCAAGGCAGAAACTGAGGAGAGGTAAAATGGAAAGAACTGAGTACATGCACTTATGGAATGCAGTACAGTTTCTAAAATGTTTCCATATTGGATTGTTATGGAATAATGTTTTCTAAAGAAGAAAAAAGCTAACATTGTTTATTTGTTTTTTGTTCCCCAGGAATTTATACATTTGGACTCTTTGCTACAGATATCTTTGTAAATGCTGGTCAAGTGGTTACAGGTAACCTGGCTCCACACTTTCTGGCCTTGTGTAAACCCAACTACACAGCACTTGGGTGTCAACAGTACACACAGTTCATCAGTGGAGAGGAAGCGTGCACAGGCAACCCAGATCTCATCATGCGAGCAAGGAAAACCTTCCCATCCAAAGAGGCTGCCCTCAGTGTCTATGCTGCCATGTATCTGACAGTAAGTAATGAATAGCAATGCATAGTTCTAGGTATGTCTTTTCCCTTTTCCAAGTGTGAAATACTTTTCTGCACCATAATGAGAGTTGTATACAGAAAACTAATATTTACTTTTGACCATTCAAATTATTTCTAATAATTGCTGGTTGTACTGTGAATTATGTTAACTCAGCTGGCTCTCTTGAGGTCATAGATGGTAGCTTATTACATAAAGATATGTTATGATTGGAATATCTGTTTGCAAATATATTTGCCTTTATATTAAGTAAGACTTAACGGATACAAATTTGTTCTGTTGCACTACCCACTAAGTTCTAATAACATAATTTAGAGAACTGTCTGGGCTCCTGGCTGCCTACTCAAGCCCTCAAGTTGCCTGATTCTGAGAGAGAAATAACTCTTATTTTAGAAAGCTCCATTGTTATTGGTAATTACATCATCACAATGTCTCAATCAGTATCTTTATATATCCTCACAGAACTAACCAAAATACCTTTAGAAATGATGTTTTCCTTTTATTCTCGAGTATTTGCCCTCATTTTGTTAATGTCCAGGCTCTGTGTATAGGCATCCTAAGACCTAGAGGTGAAGATGAGCAGTCATAGTTGAATGTGTTACAGACAGCAGGGGTGGAGAAAAGGGTAGTTGTGGCAGGCAGCTCTTGACACCAACTACATGTCCCTCAGTCAGCTTTCTCAGGTTCCCCAGGAGGTGTCCAGCTGTGGGACTGAACTTCAACCTTGCTTTCTGTGGGCTTGTCCATAAACTGTGGTGAGAAGTACAGAGGATATAGAGGTCTTTCTTTGGGGGATCTTCTTCTCAGTAGCTCCAAGATCTACTCCTTTCTGATTTCAACTTGTCAAGAAAAGGTTTGTAAGAAAGAAAGAGAGAAAGAAATGAAGGAAGGACAGATGTAAGGAGGGAAGAAAGAAAGAAAGAAAAGAAAGGAAGGAAGGAAAGAAGGAAGGGAGGAAGGAAGAATCTGTCCCACCCTGAAACCAAATTCAATTATTTCTAATTACTTGGAAAAAAGTCAGAATTATTTTTATGCTCCATACACTCTTTGGTAATGGGAATGTTGCTAATGCAATCATGTCAGGCTACCACTAAAAGTAGCGAATGTCAAGCATTACACAGTGCTATGTCTCTCTAAGACAGGAAATAGATTCCTAAGTAGAAGAAAACTTTATGAGGAATAATGTACCAGTGTTCATAACATATACAGTGAAAAATAAATCTAGAGGTCACAAAGTGCAGAGTTTAAGAATTTTAAATTGCTTTTGTTGTTGTTCTTTTTTCTTTAAGATAGGGTTGTTTCTTGCTGTCCCAATGGATCTAGAATTCACTATGCAGCTAGGTTAGCTGCAAAGCTTTGGCAATCAGCTCACCTTAGCTTACCAAGTGTCTCGGCAGTGACTTCCTGAAGCTTATAAACCATGATGATATTATCCCTTACTACCTTGTCTTTAAAAACTTCCCATCAAGAAGTTTTGAACAGCATTCTGGGAGTGAAGCTTAGCCTATCATTTCCTCTGCCAATTCCTGCTGACTGTTCAAAATGTTTGTTACGATTCCCTTCTTGCCTTCTAACTCTGTCCCCCAAAATTTGTATGGTCCTTGAATTCTTCAGTTTCCTTAGTCTATCAGCTTTGCATTTCCCTATGCATTGTAAGGCGCCTCTCGAATTGAATGAAATGCACAAACACACATATTCTTTCCTATTCACCACATTGCTTGACTACAGGCTTCTCCTCTGCTAGAATATGCAGCATTCAGCTGTGCAGTGAAGATTTTAAATGAGTGAATCAGAAGGCATAAGGTAGTTTTTCATCTATGCCTTCATCTAAACCTAATGTTCACTTTTTGAATCTGTGTAGGGACTCTAAATATATCTGTACATGAATATGTGATCAAACAAATGATGGAAGGAAAATTGTATAGTGCTTTCTGAAGTGAGATACTGTACTAGCTTTTAGCACTAATAGATGTTGGATTTTGCTGTGTATCCAGCCTTTGTCCATGGTGATGAATATGTAATTAGAATAAAATATTTAGCCTTTTTAGTATGCTAAGTAGTCCTTCAAAGACATTGCTAGGGGACATTGCAATAGTCTCTTATGTTCTAGAAGAATCTTCACATTTTGTCTTACCTCTATGCTGCTGATCACCTGCAAGAATTTCTTTTGGAAACTCATGCTTTGTACACTGCACTGTTTTAGGCATAATAAAGACAAATACTGTATTAATAATGATTAATTATTGTGACTTTAGCAAACATTTATTGAGCACTTCCTGTGGTTCAGGTTTTACTTATTATTTGACTAATTTTTTATGTTGACAAATGTCAACATCTACTCATGATTATTTATATTTAATAATTCATTATATGTAATCGTTTTCTGAAATTGTCACACGTTGTAGCAGTTTGTACTCATTTTGCCCATTTATAGTTGGAGATAGTGAGAAAGTGATGTCCTTTGTTCAGATCTAGTGAATCACAGATTTTCTTGGTGATAATGATCTTCACGATGTCTCAGATAGAGAAACATTAAAGTTTACTAGCTCTTATGTGTTCTTGGATAGCCAACCCCAGTTGTTCCTACATTATTTCACCATCCAGTACAGTTTAAAGCTAAGGGTGCAGATAGTAATGAGATTAAAAAGCAGCCCAGTGCTAAGGAATCTTCTATTACTGACTGCTGTTCAGATAAAGAGTTAAGATCTCTGCTTGTAATTACATTGATGGGTACCTCTGCCTTTTCAACAATAGATTCTGTTCTCTCCCAACTGCTTTCTTCTCTTTCCTCACCACCCCTTTTTGTGTGAGAGAGAACGTGGGTGGCTGCTATGGCAACCCTGAGTATAACTTCTGCTGCAAATACAGAATTTCCAGTCAGGTTTTACCATTATATTAGAACTTATATACAAATATATTTTACCCCAGATTCGCTAGTTACACCTTGGGAAATACTTCATAATGGAAAGCCTGGGTGTTTCAAACTAATTCAGTCTCCTGGAATCTTTGCCAGAATTTTGATAAGTGGGTATATAGAAAACAATGCCTCAGAAACAATATTCATTATGGAAATGATTTCATGCTGGTGTGTAGAAATATGTTTATTTAATGTTAAGTCACAAACATGTGAACTCATAAGAATGAAGGGTTGCCAGTATGCAGTATTTGAAAGCGAACTGAGAAATATTTGTTTGATGATACTCTTTGTGGCTTAGCATAAACCCAAGGAATTTGAACTCTCCTTAAGGATCTGACTTTAATTAAGGCTTGGGGATAATTTGATTGTAGGTTTTTCTGTTGCTTTACTGAGAAGTTTAAGAGGAAAAAAAACCCTAATCCTATTTTTACAAATGCTATTAGTTTCCCTAGTTGAGGGAATAATCTCAAAGTTATTTAACCCTCAACTCTCAAATTTCTAAATCGGTGTTAAATCATATTTAAATTTAGCCTTAAAGAATCATCTTTCAAATTAAAAGCAAGGAAAAAAAACATTCAAAGTTGAGAATGAAAAATCATGTTTGAAATTCCAGTAAACCCCATGCATTTTTGAAACAGGAAAGCATGCCCTTATATCTTTTGGTCACTTTCTTCTAATAGCAAATAATAATAATAAACGTGTTGGGAAGATGATTCAGTGGTTAAGAGCATTGACTGCTCTTGCAGAGGTTCCAGGTTCGCTTCCCAGCACCCACAAGGTGACTCACAACCATCTGTGGCTCCAGCACCTGGGAGTCTTGATGCTCTCTTCTGGCTCTGCTTGCACACAAATCACAGACATTCATGCAGACAATATACCTGAACACATAAAATAAATTTTTAGGGACTTAAACATAAAGTAATTATAGGTCAGAGTCAGCACATATCTGGGCATTGGTTTCCACTGGGTAGTGTCCCATGTTGATCCATTCTAAAGCTACAAGTGAGTTGTAGCTTCCCTCAGGGGTCTGGATCATCTCACCAGTCAACTGGGGTTTGCCTCAGTTGGTACAGCTAGAGTAACTGGATTTCTCTCATTCTGAAGAGGTCTTTCTGTCAGTCAACTCGACAGACCGTGTCTCTGAACAGCTTTCCAAAAGGTTGAAGCTCCAAGCTTTGACATGTCCAAAGACTTATGCTCCTGATTTCCTAGCCATTCAATCATGGTGCTCTATCTATCTAGGCAAATCACAGAAGAGCGTAGGTGGATATAATGCCATAGGAGGAATTCGTGGTCATTACTGAATTTACTAATGTTTTTCCTGAAGAGTGGGAGGAGGAATACTGCTTTTCCTCTGTCTTCAGTGTTAGTGGTCAGTCATTGACACTCTCCTTGCTTATGTCCTGCATGTCATATTTGTAGTGATCTCACATGGTTCCATGTATACTAACTAAAGATTACATGCTACTGAGACAAGGATTAGAAGAACACACCCTATTTGTTTCATAAGTAAGATTTGAAGTCATGTTTAAAGGGGAAAATAAGGTATATTAAAAACACACTCTGGTCTTCCATTCTGTCTTCTTATGTTCAGAGAAGACAGCTGCCATCACTATGCTGTCCTATAAAATTCCACACACAAGAGTAACTTAATCTTAAAATGTATAAGGTCCCTGGGCTTCAGATTTCACAGGAGTAAATTTGATCAAATGTCTGCTCAGACATATATAAAGAAATATTTCTTGGCACACAGTCAATTCATCAGCTATTTCGTGACTTTAATGACTGGTGCCACCACTGCCATTATTAGTCGACTGACACTTTCCTTGACAGCATTCAGCTAAGTATTATTGTGTGGTGAGAGAAGAGACAAAGGCCATCTGTGAAATGCCTTCTGTGTTCCGATGTATTTGCTGTCATGGGTCCTTTTAATCACACTGTCTCCCTTTTCCCACTCTCTTTCTCGAACCCGGTGTTTCAAAATTTTTCTATCTAAATGCACACAATCTCTCATACTCTCTTGGGCACAGGCATTCAGCAGTTATTCCTTGCAATAAAAAATAATGAT